GGACTTCTCATGAGGCCAATGTTCTGGTGTCAAGCATGGCTCCTACTAGCTGCACATGATGATGTACTGTGGACATTTGTTGTTTTTGTCTGCCCAGCGTCCAGCTCCTCTTCTGATAAAAGCACTTCCATTACCATTTGGGAAATCATGCCCCCATCACATGCAGTATTGGCAAAACCAATACTTGATTACCCAAGGAGTATTGGGTACAAGGTGCACACTAGGACTCTCCTATTTTAACTCCTGGGGATGGAACCAGTAAGTATAGTGACACAATGAAGAGAAAAGATCAGAGTTAATTTATCCTGACTTCAAGGCTCTGAAAAACTGTCCATTAACACCTGTTATCTAAATACCCAACCAACTCCAGTGTCTGTCCTTTCTAGGGTAGCAGATTTCCCTTAATTCTTGGAACAACCTCAAACCCCTCTAATAATTCATTTCTTGCCTAAATTAGCAAAGGTCAGTTTACGGGGTTAGCTTACAACTGAAGAACCTGAGGTAGTTGTCACAAGACAAAAGGAGGAGCATTAAACAGGCAGTCAGAATTGGCTTTGTCCTAAAATTGTCTATGAACCCAGAAGGGCCCCTTAATCTTTCTGAGCCTTTATCAACAGATTAAATAACTGGGTTAGGTTATTCTAAGGTCTATTTACCTATGTAATCTTCTGGAATTCCATATTATTAAGAAAACATCAAGGTTCATAGAGTTATATTCATTTGTAAACATAATATATTGAGCTATTATTGTACTAGTCATTGGGGATACAGAAGTGAACTTGGGATACAAAGGTTATATTCTAGCAGGAGATAACCTAAGAATAGTTGAGCAAATGAAATAATCACAGACTGTGAGAAGTCCTTTGCAAACAACAAAGGTGATGAGATAGTCAGTGGGGAAGGCCCTTTTAGATGCCCTAGTCAGGGAAGCTTCTCTGAGGAGGTTGGACAGTAAAGGATAAGAATGGGTCACCTATACGAAGAGGAGGGGAAAGCAAATCCTAGGTAGAGAGAACAACAAATTTTCAAGCCTGGGGCTAGAAAAGGTTTCTGAACTATGGTAAGAAGTAAGGGGATGGTAGGAAAGAGACTGCAGAGGGAGGGAGACCAAGACCATACAGACCTGGTGGGCCAAGGAAAATAACCCTTAATTTTCTTCTAAAAGATCAAATGTACATATAAAGTGAATCTCTCTGGATACTTGATGTTGGAATGCTATACAGGAGGGGCCAGAAGAGGTAGGAAATTATTGCAGTTGTCCAGATGATAGTTTGTGGCTTAAAAAAAATCATAAATAAATTAATAAAAATTTGTCAGTCAGTGAAGATGAAGAAAAACTGGTGAATTTGACATAATTTTGGAACTAGCACCCAGAGGACTTGGTGATATGGGTATTGAGAAAAAGAGAGGAATCTAAATATAATCTTTAAATATTCAATTTGAATGAGTGCATAGAAATGATAGCCTTTATTGAAAGAGAGGATCCAGGGGAGCAAGGAAATGGTGGGAGATTCATTTTGCTCACATTAAGAGCTTGGTACTCTTATTAGATAGCCAAGTGGAGTGGAGCTGTCATATATGATGCTGACTATAAATATCCAGAGCTTAAGGGAGGGGGTCATGGTTGGAGATAAATATTTGAAAACTAACAGCATAAAGATGATAGTCAGTCACAGGCATTGATGCAATTTCGTAAAGAAGAAGTATAAATAGAGAAGAAGACTGAAGAACAAAACCTGAGGCTCTCCAACATCAGAAGTTAAGTAAACAAATGAGATTTTAGCTAAGGAGACTAAGACGTTATCAGTGAGAAAGGAAAAACAAAACAAAAAACTAGGAGGAGAGTGTGTTGTGATGGAAGCTGAGAGTAGAGTGTTTCATGAAGGAGAGGGTGGTCAGCTGTATTCAGTTCTTCTGAATGTTCTAGCAGCATGGATTTAGCAATATGGAAGCCACCAGTGACTATGACCAGAGCACTTTCAATAGAGTGGTGGCAGCAGAAGCTAGGTTGGAATGCAATTAATAGTGAATGAATGGGAGGTGACTAAAGTATGGACAGCATGTTTAGAGGACTTTTGAGAAATCTTGCTCTGAAATGAAACAGAAATGGGGCAATGAGTGAATAGTTGAATGGAGGGTTGTCAAAGGATGATGCTAACATTTGAAAATGACTCAGTAGAGAGAAAGAAGCTAGTGCCGCCCAGAAGCTGAAACATCTGGCAAAGAAATGTCCTTGAGAATGGGAGAGGAGAAGGTACATGACCACAAAGGAAAAGACTTCTTACTTTTTTTTTTTAGGTGTAGAGATAATTATTCTATTAAAGCATGCAATATGCTTAAAGGGGCAGAGAAATGTGTAAATATCTGGGTGAACCATTGGAATGCTGGGAAGTTCCTTTTCCAAGTGAAGTATAAGACACCAATACCCTAACCGAGACCAGTTTGGCTCAGTGGATAGAGCATCGGCCTGCAGACTGAAAGGTCCCGGGTTTGATTCCGGTCAGGGGCATGTACCTTGGTTGCGGGCACATCCCCAGTAGGGGGTGTCCAAGAGGCAGCTGGTCGATGTTTCTCTCTCATCTACGTTTCTAACTCTCTATCCCTCTCAATTCCTCTCTGTGTAAAATCAATGATATATATATATATATATATATATATATATATATAGAGAGAGAGAGAGAGAGAGAGAGAGAGAGAGAGAGAGAGAGAGAGAGAGATAGACCAATACCCTAGACGGTGTGGTAGAAATAAGGAAGGTTTGAGGCAACAGGAGAAAGTATTAAATGTTAACTCAGAGAGTAAGAAAACACATTACAGATTGAATAAATGAGAATTATTGGGCAGTGGTTTTGGGATTTGGGTTTTGATTTTAAATAGGTTCTTTTGGTGGGATCTTATCAGCACTATTGGTTCATGCAGAGAGATGGAAGGGGGTTAGGTTTAAGTAGTTTTCGTTGTTGTTTTCCTTTGTTTTGTTTTGATTTCTTCCTTTTAACCGGAAGAATGTGATGGAGAAAGAAGGGAGGCGAGGGTGTTTGCAGTGACACACAATGGAATCTAAACTGAGTAAAAAAGGGAAGTGAAGACATCAAGGGTCAGGAATAGTGCAAGTGTTGTAGGATAAATGACCAGTGAAAAAGAGGAGGGGTCACTGAAGTAGAAGACTGTACAGTGGGAGGCATCAGGATAAGTGAGCTGGAAGGGTAGGAGTTAGGATTCAGGGAATGAGTTTTTAAAATCAAGATTTTGGAGGAGGCGTGTTAGTTTACTAGGTTTTTGTTGGGTTGGAGTAGTGCACATAAGCAAAAGAAAAGTGCTGCTGAGAGGAAGAGAGTCAGAAGATTCCCTCTTTTTTCATTGCATACCTTGTGCTGTTTTAATTTTAGTCAAATCCACACAGTGAGGCTTGGGCCTCCTTTCCAAAGCCTATAGCAGTCAGTTCACATCTAACATGGTTTTGAGTGTCAGATGAAGCTGGGGCTGGGTGGGGTCAGATAGGAATGTATTTTGCTTCCAATAAATAGAAAACTCAACCAGTAGTGGCTTAACTGACTGAGGAAAAACAAAACTAGGAGGATTATTTTCTTAACATAAGAGGAAGTTTGAAGAGAGGTGACTGCTAGAGTTGGTGTAGGGTCTCTACAAGGTAAAGGACAGGGTCTGTGATTCTTTGGCCTATTTCTTTTTGGTTTAAAGGTAGCTTTGACCCTTCATGTAGAGCATCTTCTGGGTCAGTTCTCAACTGGGACCAGGTAGAAGCATTTTAGACTTTGAAAATAGGATGGGAAGAAAGAGTCAAACACCAATAACCAAGGTCTATAATAATAATTATTGTAGTTGTTGTTGTTACTATTATCATCTTTATCTGGAACTGTTGTATGAGTGTGAAACTAAAAATATTTTTAAATCTGTCATTGGATGTTTTCCATCCCCCACACCTTCCCCTTTACCCAAAAGATTTGTGTATAAGTATTATACACAAATTAATCAGATTATTATACACTGGATTAATCAGAAATCTGTAATTTACCCATATTTGGGCAAAGAAACTCATCTATAATTATTGTTTAGATTCTATATAAAAATGTAGAACTACATGCAGCCAAAGAAATATGGGTTTCACCTACGAGGATTTTCCGGCCATTTCTGAAACCTCACTTTAGGCAATCTCCTCCCACCACCCATAAATCCTAAAGAATATCAAGTTTCTTATTGGAAGCAGATGGGATGTTTGCAGGAGTTGCCACCTCTATGTCAATGACTGAAAGTTTAAGTGCTGGGCATCTGTGGAATTCTAAAATGAATGCATGGGCTAATGAATGGAAAGTAATTAAGGTACCATATATAAAATAATAACCACCCAACTTCAGAGAGATTATTTAGCCATTTTCAACTCTTTTAATCTTGCTTATCTAAATAAAAATCATAGCTAGATATCCTCTCTTTATTTTAAGTTGCTTGATCTCTTTTTATTGTTTTAGAAATTTTGACTTTATTAAATGATTTTAAAGTATTTTATTGTATTTCTTAATTCCTTTCTGCTTTATGACTCATGAAAATCCATTATGAGAATTTGTTATTGCCTAATTTAGCACTCAGCTTAATAAGGTGTGTGCCTTCAGTTGAAAAGATGGCATCCATCTGTCTACATGTCTTTGATATTAATTGCTACATATAAAATCTATTCTGCACAACTGAATCCCAAACAACTGGAAAAGGTCAGAATAGCAAGAGTTTATTTCAGTGCTGGGGTTTAACAACTGTTACTTTCCAGTTTCACTGAAGTGACTTTCAGTGGCTGTATTGCGTGGTTGACACTACCCATATCTGGTCATCTTGTCATTGTTACTCTACAAAGTGCTGTTAATGCCAGTTGCCTTCCTAACTTTACTATGTCATCGCTTTTTATTCCAGAAAAAAATGAAAAGAAACAAGATGAGCCAAAAAACAGTGGAGAGCCCCCTGCCTCTGAGCGAGCGGTGCCCTGAGCACTCCTGGAGATGTGCTGCGCTATGGTGAAGGTGGCAGGCAGTGACGCTTACTTCCAGAGGGGCAGTCTGTTCCAGTTCACGGTCATCACTCTCTCCTTTGGCTATTACATGTGGGTTTTCTTCTGGCCTCAGAGTATTCCTTATCAGAGCCTTGGGCCCCCGAGTCTTTTCACTCAGTACTTGGTGGACCATCATCACACCCTTCTGCACATTGGGTACTGGCTTGCCTGGCTGATTCATGTGGGAGAGTCCGTGTATGCCATAGTATTGTGCAAGTCTACAGGCATCACGAATGGTCGGGCTCACCTACTCTGGTTCCAGCAGACTTTCCTCTTTGGGAGAGCCTCACCCCCCATCTTGATCATTTACAGGCCAAAACACCAAAAATAAACTTAAAGGAGATCTCCAAACCTTTCCCTACACTGACATTCAGCCTCACTTTTATCTGGGGATGGTGTGTTTACTCCACCTTTCTGCTTTCTGGAAAGTTACAATCCTCTAGTTATTCATTATTTCATATTCTCTGGTTGGGCTTAAGTAGACAATAGGAAAAGGTTTTATCTTTCCAATTCTGCAGACTAACCCATTTGGTAGAGTACTTCTAGCTTCCTTCTCCAAGGCCTTGGCTGTGCTGGTGCTCTCTCCCTGCCATCTGGTTTAAGCCACGTATGAAATTTGCTTGTTGGTATACCTGTGCTTTCACCTTTTGATTAAAACACCTTACCCACACCATCTCCATCTTAGCTGATGAGGGGTTGCTTTTTGGTAAGATAAAATATTTTAGAGTTAATTGATGGAAATCCAACTCAGATTTTGTAAAACTATGGTCCTCTCCAAGGGAAATGATGACAGTAGTAACAATTTGGAACAATTTGGTGCATTATTGAATGAAATGAATTAAAGAATAAAATGCTGTGAATTATCTCTCCAAAAACAAAAACAAAACACAAAAACAACAAAGAAAAAACAATGGACATATGAAATATACATTTACTTTTGACCTTAATGTAAACCAGTTCAAATTCTAATTATTTTCTTGTATTTAAAGAGGAAGGGAAGACTCCTCTGATTTATTTTATCCTTAACTTAATAACACTATCTTAAAGTACTACAGATCAGTGAACCATCAGTATTGTCATTAACATAAATAATGCCAAAATCTTTTGAAATTGTTGAAACCTATGCCTATAATTTCACTTTGCTCTCTTTTTCTTTAAGACATGAACGGAAGCATCTACTTTATGCCCTATCATTAAAAAAAGAAAATAAAAGACTTCTAGGAACTCATACTGAATTGACCCACCATGTGGGCAGGATTTACAAGTAAATATGGAAATTCTCCTTGAGCACCCAAAAACATTCATATTCCCATTCATTGGTATGTGTCTAGTCTTTGATGTTGGAATGAGTTCAAATTTCCCTTGCATCCACAGCAATGGCCAATTTTCATCTTGGTTGGTGTCACTGACTTTTTCCTCTTTCATAGTCACCTTTATTTTAAACTATAAGGACTGATTGAGTGGCTCAGGACTTTGTCGAGAAACAAGGACTTAAGATTTTGCGATAGAGTGGAGATGTGGATGGTAGTTTGGAAATAAGGAAGGTGGGTGTTAATATGTTACTAAATAAAATTTACTGAGCACCTATTTTAGGCTAGTCACTGTTCTAAACTCTGGTGATACCACACAAGACAAACTTTTTGCATTCTTATAGCTCACCTATTGGAGGCTTTCTCAAGATTCAGAAGAAATTAAAAGGTACGTGAAGGAAGAGAAAAGATTAGTACCAAATGAAAGAAAGAATTTGGGATGCTGCGTTTCTGATCCTTTGACTAAAGGAATTGCAAAGGTTATCCCTCTAGAGTCTAGATCAATAGGAAAAAAACAACAACACCCATACGCGTTAGAACTACTAATTGCTATACACAGGATGCAGATGTTTTTAACCAAGTCTTTAGACTACTGAAACAGTTATCACCCTAGAGAACCAACAGGTCCAGCTTTGTTGACAAACCGTCAGAACTACTACCAGGTGTTTAGTGCTGTCTTTGAGTGGAGCAGTTCAAAACCTACCAGATTCAGGAAAGTGTTAATAGCTCTCTTCCCACGCTTGGTTGACATGCCAGATTGGTAGGTGAAAGATGCTTAGCCTTCTCATTCATATTAACGCACTTCAGTAAAGTTCAATTCATTTAAAATGAATTAAAACATGACTTTGCTTAAGGTGTTTGGAAACTACTTCATACCCAGTCAATACAGATCTAGCTGAGTTTTTACTGGTTTTTTTCCACATGTTATGTCATAGGCACCTAAAACTCATTATATCCAAGTTTGTTCATAAATATGCTTCTTGTTCTATGTTACCTATCTCAGCGAGAACACTGTCATTTCAGATAGCCAAACCTAAAAATGGGCATATCCCTCTTCTTTAATCTCTTATCCACTCAATCCATCCATTCACTCTAAACATTTACTGAAGAGGCGCTATTCCAGCCACTGGGATGCAGCAGAGCATACAATATCTGCCCTCAAGGAGCTTACATTATAGTTGGGAGCAGGCAATGAATACAAGATGGTAAGATTAAGTGAGAAAATGAAGTATAGTAAGGTAGATGGAAAATGTTAACTTTTAATTTTTTTAATTTGCTCTGGTGACTTTGAGAAAAGATGTGAAGATGGTGAGGCATGAAACCAAGTGAGTATCTTGGGGAGAAGCATTGCAAAGAAAGGGTCATAAGGCATGAATAGAGTGTTTGAGGAATAGTCCCAAACCAAATGGCTGGAGGTGTGAGCACAAGGAGAAGAGACCTCAGAGGAATTGTGGATTAGAACATGTAGGGCCTCAGAAGCCACCATAAGAACTTGGCTTTTACTCTGAGTGAAATCAATAAGGTACAAGTCGAGGAGTAGAACATGATCTGATACACATGCATTACTTTGTGGTAATTGATTATTACACATTGAATTAAAAAGAATCTATGTGTTCATTGTGAAAATCAAAAGAAGAAAGAAGAGAAGGAGGAAGAGGAAGAAAGCAAGTAGGTGAAGGGTGAGAGAGGAGGAAAAAGGGGAAAAGGGACACTTTTTTACTAAAATGTCTTAAAAATAGAAATAGGAGTATTTTAAAAATCATCATTTAGCAACATTCAGTATAATAAATAGTCTAAGAAGGGTTATTAATAGATGCTAAAAGCATTTGGGTAAAAGGTTGTGGTAAATAACACATTTGGAAGGTGCCAAATATCTCCCCACAATTTCTTACTAATTACAAAGGGAGCATGTATCTTCATAAGAGAGAGCTCTGACAGGTCACCACATTAACCAATGATCAAACAGCATCAATAATATCAGGACAACCGACATTACGTGCCTCATGATGGGCTGCAGTATGAACACTTAATCTGTGAAGAAACCAACAAATTAAAAATGTGTGGGATAGTCTATGTGAAAAAGTGAATGTTTCAAAAGAAAAGAAGCAGGCATTTTTTTTTCTAGGTTAAGAGAGACTAAAAGATATAATAAACAAATAAATGCATGAAACTTGATTGAATCCTGGATCAGAAAAAAAAAAAAAAACACTGTAAAAGACATTTCATATTGTACAATTCTTCTAACTCTTCTGTACACCGATTTGGCTCAGCGATTGAGCATCAACCTATGAACCAGGAGGTCACAGTCCAATCCCCGGTCGGGGCACATGCCCGGGTTGTGGGCACAATCCCCAGTGTGGAGTGTGCAAGAGGCAGCCGATCAATGCTTGTCTCTCAACATTGATGTTTCTATCTCTCTTTTCCTTTCTGCAATCAATACATACATATATATTAAGTTGGCCAGGGTACAGTTATATCATTCTGGCTGCTATGTAGACTGTGGGTGAGGGGAATGGGCAAGGGAAAAAGCAGAAAGACCAGTAAGGAAGCCATGAGAGTCATCTAGGAGTAAAATGATGATGACTTAGATCTGGGTGGTAGCAGTGGAAGGCTGGGAAGTGGTCAGATTCTTTGTAAATTTCAAAGTTAAAGCCAAAAGCATATGCTGACAGACTAAATGTGAAGCATAAATAAAAATATAGGAGTCAAGAATTACATTAAAGTTTTGGGCCTGAACATTGGAAATGGAATTGCCATTAACAAAATTGAGAACACTACAGGTGAAAAAGGTCTCAGGGAAAGGCTTCCTTCCAGGTCAGAGCATGATACTCTTAGCATCTTTACTAAACATCCAAGTGGAGATGTGACATAGCTGTTAAATATTCAAATCTGAAGTTCAGATATGTATGAGCTGAAGATGTAAATCATGAGATTGGGGAAGATTGCCAAGGGAATGTGTGTCCTCCAGAGAGAAAGAAGAGGACTAAAGATTGAGCCCTTGGGGTTGAGCAGGGAATCGGACTCCAACATTAAGAGTCTGATCATCAGAGCTCAGAGTCACTTCCCAGGTCCCATCAGTTCTGTTTCCTTCCCCTGCTCTCCCTCCATTCCCACGGAGCTTACTTTCTTTTTTTCTTTTCTTTTTTTTTTAATATATATTTTATTGATTTTACACAGAGAGGAATTGAGAGGGATAGAGAGTTAGAAACGTCGATGAGAGAGAAACATCGACCAGCTGCCTCTTGCACACCCCCTGCTGGGAATGTGCCCGCAACCAAGGTACGTGCCTTTGACCGGAATCGAACCTGGGACCTTTCAGTCCGCAGGCAGACGCTCTATCCACTGAGCCAAACCGGTTCCGGCCCCACGGAGCTTACTTTCATTCAGGCTCTATGCCATTTTCTCCTTCAAACATCATGGTAGGCCCCTCACTGGTCTACCCACCTCCATCCTACTTTGCCCTCATCTAATCTCTCCTCATTGCTGCAGCAAACTGTGTCATGTCACTCCCCTGCGGAAACCTTTCAGGGCCTCTTCCGGATCCTGAGAGAAAGTCATAAGTCTGTAAGATCTAGATCCTAGCTTCCCTCTCTAATCCTCCAATCTTTCCCATTACACTTTCCCTAGCAATACTCCAGTCTGTGCTTCAGCCATACCGACTTGATCTTTTAATAGCTGTCTTCTCTCCCAACTCCCTGCCTTTGTACATGCTTTTTCTTCGATCTATCACTTCTCATTCTGTGCATTTGGTGAACACCCGTAGTGTGGCACTTGCCCTATTTAATTGTATGTTTCATGCACCACACTTAAGCACTTTGATTGCAGCCCCCCCCCTTAATTCATCTCCCTCTATCTCAATAAGTGGGGTACATTTGTTTATCTAATAAATATTTCTTGCAGAAAGAAAGAAAGAAAGAAAGAAAGAAAGAAAGAAAGAAAGAAAGAAAGAAAGAAAGAAAGAAAGAAAGAAAGAAAGAAAGAAAGAAAGAAAGACTCGCTTTCCGGGATGTTAATATTGAGG